TTCCTACAGTATCTGTATCGACGGAAAGCCGTCGACTCGTATTTTCAATCTTCCAGATGCACCAAGAAACATCGCTGAAATATTAAAAATAGATTCTCCAAAGGTTTATAGATTCTTCGGATGATGTCTCGATCATTTGAATCTTGAGCAACTACCATTGTTTGACACGTTTTCGACCGCCATTTTTGTTTGGACAGTACTCCTCATATACCACAACAGATTTCCTACATTCTATTCAGTCTGTTACATTTATCGTCGAAAATATGCTTACTTCGACTTTCTTTAAATTAAACCATTCTTTCCCATTTTCCTGTATATCTTGAAAACTGTAGTAGGTATCAAAAAATTGTTAGAATAAAATTTTAATATCATCTCACGCTCTCTATATAATTATAATAAAATTGTTAAAAATTCGTTTTTTAAATAAATAATTAAATAAACAAACATATTTGTAAATATTGAAGTACACGGTTCTATAGAGCATAAGAAGCCATTAAATTTTTATTACAACAATTTTTTTATATCTACCATAGTTTTCGAGATATACAGGAAATTGGGAAAGCATTGTTAAGGGGTGGTTCCACCCCGAAAAACTGAATATCAGAAGACACGAGGATGAAACTTATTTCAATTTCTTTTTATATTAAAAAAATTTGTAACTGTTTTGAATAATGGAAAGGTGTGCAACTTAAAAATAGAACAAAATAAAAAATTTCAGTACCTATCGTTAGAAAAAGTTTCTGTATTATTATTTGTATTTCTGTTGTTATGTAAAAGTTCGTTAGTGTCGGTCTACGCCATGTTTGAGTGTCGAATTGAACAGAGATTTTAAGAGCAGACGAGAAACTCGGTCGTCGAGCTGGCTATGTTAGCGGACCCACGAATAACGTCAATATTAAGTTTCGCCTTTATCCCTGGTCTTCATTAATAGAGCTGAAAATTAATTGACCCGCCAGATGGATTAAAATTACGACGGAGAAGAGTGGATAATTTTTGCAAAAGCGACATAGTTGGCCACAGACGTCTCCTCAACCCCACCGAAACCTGATCACTGTCTTTATTATGGGAACTTAAATTTTAGTAGAGCTATTTAGCCGGTGTTCCTGAAGTAGTTGATCCAACTTTGCCAATATTTTTATGGAAAACCGTGGACGAAACCTAAAAACGGGACGACTTTTTTTTCATTTTACAGTTAAATATTATGGAAATAAAAAGTAAGGATACGAAATGTGAGGAATTCGACAAAACGTGTTTATAGAGAGAGCGAGAGAGATTACGGACAAACTATACGATAGAAATACGTATGGGGCTAAACAACTAAGAAAACTGAGTTTAAAAAAAATAAGATTCAGTGAAAAAGAAAGAACAATAGAATGATTTTATTAGATACAAATTATATAATGTACGTAAACAAAATGCTAATGTGAGTAAGAAGAAGAAAAAGTAAATCTATAAAAAACTAAGCTCAGTGACAAAGTACATTTTCTAAACTTTTACTCTGAGGATGGTGATACAAGAGTTTTCACGAAACGTGCTTACAGAGAGAGATTGAAGGAAATTATAGACAATAAGGCTAAAGCAACTAAGATTGTATTTCATTTTTTTTTTAAACTTTCATTTTGAGGAGGACGATGATACAAGGGTGTTCACGAAACGTGCTTATAGAAAGAGCGAGGGAGATTACGGACAAACTACGATAGAAACAAGTGTGGAGCTAATGCAACTAAGATTTTATTTCATTTTTCTTTTAAACTTTTATTGTGAGGACGATGATATAAGGGAGTTCACGAAACGTGCTTATAGAGAGAGCGAGGGAGATTACGGACAAACTACGATAGAAATAAGTGTGGGGCTAAAGCAACTAAGATTTTATTTCATTTTTTTTTTAACTTTTATTGTGAGGACGATAATATAAGGGAGTTCACGAAACGTGCTTATAGAGAGAGCGAGGGAGATTATGGACAAACTACGATAGAAATAAGTCTGGGGCTAAAGCAACTAAGATTTTATTTCATTTTTCTTTTAAACTTTTATTGTGAGGATGATGATATAAGGTAGTTCACGAAACGTGCTTATAGAGAGAGCGAGGGAGATTACGGACAAACTACGATAGAAATAAGTGTGGGGCTAAAGCAACTAAGATTTTATTTCATTTTTCTTTTAAACTTTTATTGTGAGGACGATGATAGAAGGGTTTTTACGAAACGTGCTTAAAGAGAGAGTACTATGTTCCCGTCTAGGGATCGAGTATCTGAAACGAAAGACAGTCGCGTTGTACTTGTTTCGCTGCGTATGTAATCCTGCGAATTATCGATTTTGCGGCAACTATGGTTCTGTTTCACGATTAATAGCGGATAATAGTCAGCTTGTTCTCAAGCTAATGCGTTTCCTTGCTAGTACAGTAACACATATCCGATTTCCGGTCGGAGGAAACTTTGTGCAGCTAGTTCTGTCAGGGTTTATAGGACTGGGCACCACGAGCACACTTCCCCCCCGTTGTGAGAGCTTTCAAAACGATAGCCAGCCCATTCGCTAATTACCGCCTCTAATACAGTGCTACCTGACGAAACTGGGGACACGTAGTAAGGAGCAATGATTTAACAATCCCATAACGCAAAATTCCTGTATTAATATTTCACATTATTCATTACTTACCTGTCTTGTGATGAAATTATATTTGTAATGATTATTCAAGAATTATTACTTTTATCATTATAGTAATTATTGTAAAGTTGGTTATTCGTGGATTTACTATGGCTTCTATTAGTTTAGATTATTCCTTTTTTGGAATTAACGACAATTGACAATATTGTAGAAATTCGTAATTACGAAAATGGTTGTTCATTATTAGTAGACTGTGGATGTTTATGGAAATTCATAATTCTAAACATTAATTTATAAATATGAAAACGAGAGAAAAATTCTGTAATTCCTGTATTAGTTATCTTATTATGTTGCTAATAATATACAGGGTGAATCAATAATAACTACTATGTAAAATAACTCGTTACTTATTTGATTGTATGTATCAGAAAACGTTTTAATGAATTTGATATTTTATATCTTATTTTTTGCTAAATATCGAAGTGAACTTGAGTTTTTTCAAAATTAGTGCATCTTTTTTTTAACCACGTTGTTGCCAAAAGAAGAGCGAATTCAACGACCTATAACATGATGGTATTAAAACAAAACATTGACCTTGAAAAAACTCAAGGTCCCCTTGATATTTAAAAAAAGAAAAGAAGATATAATCACATCAAATTGTATCCATCCGATGCGTCACTTAAAATGCTATATAATTTATTAAAATGTTTTTTAATACAACCAATAAGGAATTAGTTATTTTGGATACTAGTTCTTATTGACATTGGTATATTAAAACTTAATATAAATGAATAAACATCCACCCAGAAATGTTATGAAAAGTCACATTTTTTGGATGTACAAACAAACAGAAAATGTAAGGTTGCGTTCGTTGAAAACCGTGGTTAGAGAGTACTATAAATGGCTGGCGAAACAGGTGATATAGGTGGGAATGGGACCAGGTTAATGGAAATAAAATCGTCGATGACAGGATAGTAAAACAGTAATCAACACCGTTCCCGATATCGGCGACCTGTAATTTGTTGGCCGGGTGTCGAGGGCCGGTAGGCCAATCGGTCAAATTCCCACGTGTCAGCCGATGGTTGTCTGTCTGTCTGCGAAACGCCCAATAACTCCCAGTTTCAAGCCAACCAAGAGATTAATATCCCTTCGCGTGCACATGATACGCAACTATTAATATTTCATTATCATTCCCGTAAGTACAAAAGCGTGCAACCAATATCAGAAATCTTCTAATATCAGAACGTTGTAATTTTCGAACGTCCCACTATCTGAAACTTCTACTATCCGAACAGTGTTCCGATATCCGAACCTTCCGATATCAGAACCTTCTAATATTGGAACCTTCTGTTATACGAAGGTTCCACTATCCGAACCTTCTACTATCTGAACAGTGTTCAACTATCCCAAGGTTCCAGTATCCCAAAATTCCACTATCCGAAAATTCTACCATCCCAGAAATCCACTATCCCAAAATTCCACTATCCCAAAATTCCACTATCCCAAAATTCCACTATCCCAAGGTTCCACTATCCCAAGGTTCCAGTATCCCAAAATTCCACTATCCGAAAATTCTACCATCCCAGAATTCCACTATCCCAAGGTTTTACTATCCCAAGGTTCGACTATCCCAAGGCTCCACTATCCCAAGGCTCCACTATCCCAAGGTTCCACTATCGCAAGCTTCCACTATTCCAAAATTGCACTATCCGAAAATTCTACCATCCCAGAATTCCATTATCCCAAAATTATGCTATCCCAAGGTTCCACTATCCGAACCCTCTAATATCCGAACCTTGTAATATCGAAACGTTCTGTTATACGAACGTTCCGCTATTCGAACCTTCTACTATCTGAAAGTTCCACTACTCGAACGGTTACTTATGCTTAACTTGCACTATATATAATGCAGAATAAGATTTTTATATTACGTCATTACTATTGACAGACAAGCATATTCCTTGGTGTCATCCTGAAGTCTCTAGAGTTTACTGATAGGTCTCTCTGTATAATTATTCTACCTTGTTCAATTTCTATAAGTCCCATTTTCTATTGAATAATAGACGTACGATGAAACCTCCAGCAATTTTTCTCGAAGAGATAACGTACATTCTTTTAATGACACGAATATATTTACTCGTCATAAGAATAGTAATGTTTTGCGTAGAGTGGAATGAATGTTTTATATGGGAACATGGCCCTACCCTTTGTTTCTAGTGCAACGGAAATTTGTTCGATCAAATCTCAAACATCCCGTAGCCGTTCACCCCCTAAGGGAGAAGTGGCGTGCAAACACGGGCATATAGACTAAATATATAGACCTAAGACAGTATTACCGTAACCCGAGTAAATTCTCCGAGCACGATGTACAATGGATTTTCTTGTTACGTTCGCAGGTTCCCTGGGCACTTCGGTGTTCGACACGGACGTGTACCTCGTTGGCGCCAGCGGGGGCGTTTACGCCCTTCTTGCGGCTCATCTGGCCAACGTGCTCCTTAACTATAACAACATGGAGTTCGGCATAGTACGGTTAATAGGCATCTTCGTGATTGGTAAGACTTTCAACAATACCCGATATACTATTAACGATTCATCAATTATCGCCACGTTCACACATACAGAATGACTCGACATTGACCCAATAATGCACATACTTCTGAATAATAAAAAACAAGATAAAGTATAATAAATGTAAGTCACAATAATAATATATAGAGGTAAAGTAAACCACGGGGAATGGTGTTTTCCAGAGAAAAAATATACATGTAGTTTTTAAAGTTTTGTAAACATGAATTTGTTGTAACTGGCAGAAATATCATTTGTGTGAAGGATGGTCATAGCTTGAAAATTTAAATGTTACAATTTTGTAACTCGGTTTAGATAATACAGAATATTCAGTTTTGCCAATATTTCGAAAGAACCGAATACTGGCACTAACGTGTACGATACAACGTATTCTCGAAACAAAAATTGTGATTCGGCGAAACGTGCTTATAGAGAGATTGCATATAATTATAACTTAATATAATCTACTTAGTGGTAATAGAATTATATTAAAATCCGTTCTCTCAACTGCATTAGACACATACTTACGTGTAATCCCTTTCTATAAGCACGTTTTGTCGGATACCTCCCAATACCACGGCCCTTTCTGATATTGCAAAATGTATTACAATTTGTCACCACCATTATCAGTACATTTGGTAACCACAACTTCAACGATCTAAAAACAATGTTAATTTTAGTTTTCATCCTCTCTATAAGCATGCTTTGTCGACTACCTCCTATTACCAGAATCATTTCTGATACTGGAAAATATAATACAATTTGTCACCACCATTATCAGTACATTTGGTAACCACAACTTCAACGATCTAAAAACAATGTTAATTTTAGTTTTCATCCTCTCTATAAGCATGCTTTGTCGACTACCTCCTATTACCAGAATCATTTCTGATACTGGAAAATATAATACAATTTGTCACCACCATTATCAGTACATTTGGTAACCACAACTTCAACGATCTGAAAACAATGTTAATTTTAGTTTTCATCCTCTCTATAAGCATGCTTTGTCGATTACCTCCTATTACCACGATCATTTCTGATACTGGACAATATAATACAATTTGTCATCACCATTATCAGTACATTTGGTGACCACAACTTCAACGATCTGAAAAAAATTTTAATTTCAATTTTCATCCTCTCTATAAGCATGCTTTGTCGATTACCTCCTATTACCACGATCATTTCTGATACTGGACAATGTAATACAATTTGTCGCCACCATTATCAGTACATTTGGTAACCACAACTTCAACGATCTGAAAACAATGTTAATTTTAGTTTTCATCCTCTCTATAAGCATGCTTTGTCGATTACCTCCTATTACCACGATCATTTCTGATACTGGACAATGTAATACAATTTGTCACCACCATTATCAGTACATTTGGTAACCACAACTTCAACGATCTGAAAACAATGTTAATTTTAGTTTTCATCCTCTCTATAAGCATGCTTTGTCGATTACCTCCTATTACCACGATCATTTCTGATACTAGAAAATGTAATACAATTTGTCACCACCATTATCAGTACATTTGGTAACCACAACTTCAACGATCTGAAAAAAATCTTAATTTAAATTTTCACCCTCTCTATAAGCATGCGTTGTCGATTAACTCCTATTACCACGATCATTTCTGATACTGGGAAATATAATACAATTTGTCACCACCATTATCAGTACATTTGGTAACCACAACTTCAACGACCTGAAAAAAATCTTAATTTAAATTTTCACCCTCTCTATAAGCATGCTTTGTTAAATTCCTCCTATTACCACGATCATTTCTGATACTGAAAAATTTAACACAATTTGACACCTCTATTATCAATACATATAAAAGCGTTTAACCTCAGCGATCTGATACGAACTCTTAATTTCGATTTTGCAGCCAGCGCTGACGTGGGGTTCGCAATCTACGACAGGTACGCAGCAGAACAAATGGGCCCGCCGGTCTCGTACGTGGCGCACCTGACAGGCGCGCTGGCCGGTCTGACGATCGGTCTCCTGGTGCTGAAAAATTTCGAGCAACGGCTGCACGAGCAACTGCTCTGGTGGGTGGCGCTCGGCGTGTACGCGGCCTGCACGATCTTCGCGGTTATGTACAATCTGATGCACCCGGACTATCCATGACGTGAGGTCAGCTTCGCGTACGGGCAACCACGAAACACGTAACGCGAAGCTGAACAGGGTCCAGCGGGGACGAACGACGGCAGCGGCTGGTGGTGGTCGCGCGGTGGACATGTCGGGGACAACCATAAATGCTGGAAGCGCGATCTACGGGTCGAGACCCGGTGAGAAAGTTCGCGACAAACAGGAGACGATTACCTGTGTTGGCTTCTAGACATACGGAAATGGGTGGGCAGATCGGGAGACGATTCGAGTGCGGGGACAGAAGAGGATAGCTAACACCTTTGTTCCTTGAGGATAGCCGACGACATGCTTGTTCCTTGAGGATAGCTGAAGACATCTTTATTCTTTGAGGAAAAGCCGACGACATCTTTGCTCCTTGAGGATAGCTGAAGACATCTTTGACCCTTGGGGATAGCTGATGACATCTTTGTTTCTAGAGGATAGCTAACACCTTTGTTCCTTGAGGATGGATGACATATTTGCTCCTTAAGGATAGCTGATGACATGTTTGTTCCTTGGAAAGCTAGCTGATGACACCTTTATTCCTTGAGGATAGCCGACGACATGCTTGTTCCTTGAGGATAGCTGATGACATCTTTGTTCCTTGGAAAGCTAGTTCAAGACATCTTTGTCCATTGGGGATAGCTGATAACACCTTTGTTCTTTGGAAAGCTAGCTGATGACACCTTTATTCTTTGAGGAAAGGTCGGCGACATCTTTGTTCCTTGAGGATAACTGATGACATCTTTGCTCCTTGAGGATAGCTGAAGACATCGTTATTCTTCGAGGAAAGGTCGGCGACATCTTTGTTCCTTGAGGATAACTGATGCCATCTTTGCTCCTTGAGGATAGCTGATCACATCTTTGACCCTTGGGGATAGCTGATGACATCTTTGTTCCTAGAGGATAGCTGACATATTTGCTCCTTGAAGATATCTGATGACATCATTATTCTTTGAGGAAAGGCTAACTACATGTTTGTTCCATGAGGATAGCTGAAGACATCTTTATTCTTCGAGGAAAAGCTAATGACATGTTTGTTCCATGAGGATAATTGATGTCATCTTTGTTCCTTTGAAAGCTAGTTCAAGACATCTGTGTCCCTTGGAGATATCTGATGACATCTTTGTTCCTTGAGGATAATTAAAAACATCATTGTTCTTTGGGGATAGCTGAATACACCTTTGTTTTTTGGGGAGAGCCTGACGACATCGTTGTTCCCTGATGAGAGGCTGAGCTGTCAGTACTTTTTGACGCATGGTAAATCGAATGGAGAATCGTTCGTCTCCTAGATAGGAAGTTTCTGAAGGTGGAGAATCGATCGAGTCGCATCGGAATGGAGGATTTTCTGGAACATTCATTCTTTAACCCCATCGTTCCTATGGCCGCATCCTAGCCGATCCAGTGATGAACACAATTTCTCCTTTATGTCCTGTTGTGGGTCAAGATTCTTTGACGGTCCATACTTCGGATTAATGGAATAAACCAGAACATTCTGGTAATGGTGGATATGAATGTGAAAACATCTGGATGACTGGATTTACAAAGCGTAGAAAGAAAAACAGAATTCGAGTCTTTGCCCTCATCAGCCGTGGAATGATAGTTCAGTTTGTTACTACTAAATTATAAAAATAGCGAAAATAATGGGAAACGAAAGGACAGAAAGGAAAACCTCCGCGGAAGTATCTTCGGTCTCTACTGAAGGATCCTCGTCAGGATATGCTATTCGATCCAAAGATCTGACGCGTAGATCGATCGCGGTGAAGAGTATCACGAAGCATTAATTTAAATCCAAAAATCCCAAGGAACGAACTTTCGTCTCGTGTTTCGAAGGACTTTGCCGAAGACGTCTGGAAGACATCTATAAGACATGTATAAGACGTCCAGAAGACCTCTATAAAACATCTATCCACGATAGTGATCGAGTGATTGTTCTCCTCCATCATTTTCTTCTACAATCCCGGTAAAAAACCAAAGATATTCGAGATTACCTCTGGCCAGCCGACTCGCCGGACGTTGCTCGAGGCGCGACGGTGGCGCCATCTAGAAAGAAAAATGGTGGCCACTCCTTTCCGACGGAATTTCACCGATCATTCGACCGCAGAAACCAAAGAATTGTATCGAACTACGTTCCCATTCGTTCCTTCGAGTCCAAAAGTCGGAAAGAGGGAAGGGGAGGGATCGATCGATCGCATCCAGTCACGAGGGGACATAATCTCGAGAAGAAGAACGCTCGGAGAAATTGCTTCTTGACGAAGAACGTCAGAGAATCGTCATTAACGAAAACGGGGGAATCGAAGAGTCCACAGCTCTCCCTCCTCCTGTTCGTTAATGCAGTTTTCACGGATGTCCCGAGGGGATCACGTCGTGGACGTGAAACACGTCTCGATTTCCGCTCGGTGACGAGTACGAGGAACGATCTAGAGAAGTTCTCGGGGCAGGTGACAAGATGGCGGACCAGGGAGTCTTCGCGACAGTCTCTGAGTTCTATATAGAGGGCGTATTTTTTCGTTCGATCGTCGTGTCCGATATCGACGACGTTTCTCGTTCGAGCGAGATCGGTCTAACCTGTATACCACTGAATTGTAAATAATACTGTACATAGTCGAGTGAAACCGTGGGCCTGTGTGTGTGTGTGTGTGAGAGAGAGAGAGTGCGATAGAGTGCTGGAAAACGCGATGTGGGATGTAAAATGGGGTGTAATACACGTGGAGCCGAGAGGAATCGGTTAGCCACGCGATCTAGTCCGGTGATCGCGAGATTGCGTCGTATGCTCGTAAAAAAAGGAGAGAGAGAGAGAGAGAGAGATATTTTGAGGAAGATGCTATCGAGGACTTGCACGGACTTCTTACTGTGTGATCGAGATGCGACTGTTTGGATAGGGGGCAAGTTGGGTTTGGGAGACATCTCTAGTCGATCTTTGGTTTTAGTTGGACTTTGCGGGGGCAAAAGTTGGGTTAGGTGGCAGATGGTTCCCTTCACTTTCTTTGTAAGTAGACTGTAGGTGTTTATGGGAGTGTCTATTTTCGTGAGATATTTGACGATAATCGTGGAAAAATAATTTTGATAATAAATGGATTTATTCAAGCAAGAGTATGTGAAGAATTTCGTTAGTTTTTGTTGAAAATTTGATTTTAGTGCACTTTTTGATCTTGTTTGGGTCGTAAATTCATAAACATCTGCAGTCTTAATATACACCACAGAATTTTAGGTAGATCTGTTTTGTATTTGGCAAAGTTAGAGATTCACTGAGGATCACTTGACAATTAGTTCATGTGGCCAACTGCTGGTGCCAAAAATATTAGTTATCACAAGATACTAATTTCTGTTTTTCAAGTTTTTCATAGTATTGTTGGACAAGGATTCATTGGTCCGTAGCAGGAATAGGAAAATTTTAGTTAATTATCACTGAAGTTAGGTAAATGTACAGTACACCTTCCTGGAATCCCTAAGAATGTCAACATTCAGCCCCGTTTCTAAATAACGGTAACAGCTTCCAAATTTTCTGCTATTAATGTCCAACCCATCCAAAAACTAACTTTAATCCATAGCAAAAATACCAAAATTTCAGTTTGTTCTTACAGAGATCCCCAAGAATGTCAACATTCAATCCCATTTCCAATAAGCAGCAATAGCTCCCAAACACTGCCACCAGTATCGAACCCATCCAAACGCTAAAACGCAAAGATCGATTGATTTAAACAAAAGCCTTCGAAGTCACTAGGCCCAAGAATACAAACAAATCACGACCCAATTTCACCCCAAATCAACTGTTCAAAAACTAAAATACAGAGACGTGGGTGCAACTTTCGGTTGAGCATCTTAGCCCCCTATGTCCCGTTTCTGGAATCGCGTCCCCGCGAGAATCTCTGTGTGTGTGTGTGTGTGTGTATCTGTGTTCCGTGTGTGTGGTTTCAAAGATGGCCGTCAGTTAGGGCGCGACTGTCCTGCGCCAGCGCGCGCGCCATCTGTCCCGCGTGTTATTAACTTATTTGCGATTCTTGTTCAAGCGTCGCGCGCAACGCGCAGCTCACTCTATTTATTGATAGTTCCCCCCCGTTGCGTCGGTTCGGCGTGCCGACGGCGATTCTTCCGTCGATCCCGTTTCGACGTTGTCCAACTCGGCGAGAGACGCCTCCCGTGTCCTTTTCTTCTTTCGAGCGGTTCGAAAGCGCCCGAGGAATAAGGTTTTCCGGTCGATCGTAGGCAATTTATGTCCCCCCCCCCCGACTCTCGTACAAATGCAATCGGCGGAGGTCGATCCCGGCGGCCGATTGCGGATTACCTTTTATAGTATTTTTATCGCTCGATCTCCGAACACGGACACCGTATTCTCCTTTCGATTTCGGGACGATCGAATCCGACCGGCTTCGATCCGTCGTCCCGTAACCCATAAAGACGCGTCCACATTGCTCTTAGCTCTTGCGACAAGGTGAGAATTTGCAACTTCGTATTAATAACGCATCCTAATTTTTTTCTGGAATGTTTTAGAACAGTGAAAAGATCGTTTGACTTTGTCGCGAGGGAAAAGTCGCGTCAGTGGGAACGCGCCTTTAGATTGCTGCACGCCGAATTGTCACCAAAGATACCGATTGGAACAGAAATTCTTTTATGGGATATCGATGATTTGTATTATGAATTATTCTTAAGTAATTTCTTTTTTTTTTTATACTTTGTAGAGTAATTGGAAACGTGTTCGATTCGAATCCAAGTTGGCGGAAGGAGTAACGGTCAAACTTGACAGCTATAAAAATCAATCTTTGGGGCTGAAAAGGTAATGAACTCCAGTTTTCGACGAAATTCCCTCGATTTTGGTCCTTATGAGCATGTTTTTTCTTCCTTTAATTAAAAAGGAGGATTAAGAAGGTTTCCAAGATCTCCAACCGCCATTCTGTCCACCATCTTGATAAATAATTATCCGAGCTATCTACAGAGTTTATATAATTATCGTATATTTCTTTAGAAAACTGAAATGAATAATTGATAATCAAAATCGTCGATATTGTCTGAAAAGAATGTCTGCTCTAATTTCTGTTCAGAATCTGTTTCGAATGGAATTAAATATAAAATGGCGGACTTCACTGATTGACATATTCGAATACCTATTCTTT